TAAGGAAAAAATTAAGCTTTTGTGGTAGATGCGGGACAGCAGTGTTTAAAAGATTAGTTTTTCCTTATTCTAACACTCAAGGAGGTGTATAGCATTTGCACAAGTACAGAAGTAAGTTAACTTATCTATGATTTTGGGAGGCAGCATAGTAGGTCTACTTCCCCTTCGGGAGGGTGGGTTAGTGATCGCAACAGACGCAAAGAGTGACGGGACACCAGTGCACATGCATACTCAGTTTGGGGGTATTTCGCAGGCGGAATGTGCTCTTCTCTGTATGTATATTATAGTTAAATACAAAGTTTAAAAAAATCTCAAACAGCTGCCTATGGTGGACCTTAACAGTCAATTTTTAAAGAAAGTAGCTTTTTAGATTAAAAGTATGAATTCTTCTCTTAAAATTCACTTTTAGGGGCGCCTGGGTGGCTCAGTCGTTAAGCGTCTGCCTTCGGCTCAGGTCATGATCCCAGGGTCCTGGGATCGAGCCCCGCATCGGGCTCCCTGCTCGGCGGGAAGCCTGCTTCTCCCTCTCCCACTCCCCCTGCTTGTGGTCCTGCTTTCACTATCTCTCTCTCTCTCTGTCAAATGAACAGATAAACTTTTTTCAAAAATAAATAAATAAAAATTCACTTTTAAGCTCTAGAAAATAAGAGCCCCTAGCCTTATACATACTAGAAAGTTAGATTAATTACACCTTTCAGATTCACTGCCTTACTTTAAACCTTCATTTCAAAGGATGCTTTAATAATGAAAGTGCACAACCAAAAAAATGATAAACATTCTCCTGTGTTTTTCCAGACCTGCCCATTTGAACCTGCCACCTAAGTAGTACGCTAGTCCTAACAACGTGGCAATGATCCTGGGATCCTACAAGAGTCCAATAATCTAGATGGTTCATCGTGAGTCTAATCCTATTCCTACACTTTTGGGGGAAAAACACTCAACAGTTCCTTACTGTCCCCAGTGCAGCAAGGGATTAAGTCACAATTATACTGGACCCAGTAAGAAAAATAAAATAGTTTTTCAGAAGGGGCTGAGCTGACTGTTCTTTTTTTGCTTCTCTTAAGGCAAAAATGACCAATACCTGTCACGCTGATGATGTTCCAGGGGGCTTCAGCCCTGACCTGCCTCCAGCTGCCAGCGCCATCAATCACCTCAGAAGAAGATAAGCAAATTCTGAAGGCGCTCAGTGTGGATTCAGATTGAAGCCACTTCCAGGGAAGGCTCACCACACTGCCATGCTGCCCTTAAGACCTGGAGTGTTCTTATGTTGTATGGATCATGAGAGCATCTCTCAGCCAGGGATTGGAGTTACATAGCTCACAAGGTCATTTCTCAGGGCCCGTGGCCTAAAGCAAGAGTAAGATTCTGAAAACAATTGGTAGGACATCGTTACAACTGTGTCATCTCTGTACTAAGTCCAAGAACAGGTCCCTGATTCTGAGATAAGAGGAATTAGATTAGATGCTGAAGCAAACAAACAAGGAAAACTGCTTTGCATAAAAAGAGATCAAACAGATGTTCAGAGTCTAAGTTATAACACTGATGCTTAGCCCACCACATGATCAGCTGTAACAGGGAAAAGATACAGCAAGGGATACCACTGAACCCCCTTAATTGAGTTCGTAAATCCTCAGAGAGAAGCCTAAGTTTGCTGGGTGGTTTCTTCACTATATGTTAGCACACAAATTTCAATTAAGGTGAAAATAAGCTCAAATAACAATAATAATTAGGAAAAGAAAAGAAAGAATCAAGAATGAGGGGCGGGCATCAAAGCCCAAGGTACAGTGTTTCAGCAGCCTGCCCCACAGGGTTGTGGATAGCGATCGACACAAGGAGGAAAAAGTGCTCCTGAGTCTGATACAAAAGCTTAACAGAGCAAACCTGTCTGGGCTATGTTCATATTGTCACTACAACCACTTTTCTTCTATTTCAGGGCCCCTGGGGAAGAGTCCTGCTGAGTAATCTTAACCCAGAAGAAGGAGAAGAAAGTTGAGCACCTTTTGAGCCTTCCTAGGTTTGACCTCAAAACACTACAATAGAATAAAGCTTCAGGGAAACCCCTAAAGCCTCTGATTTAAGGTGATGCTTGCACCTAATAGATAACACACCACCACACAAGCCACTACTCTGCTTCTAAGGAAGCTTTCAGAATTTATATTCATCTACCCACACAACAGTCCCTTCCCTTCTAATCTTAGATCAGAATACCTGATAGAGGAGAAGGAAGGTTTAAGACTCTGTCTCAACTTTTACTAGTATGGGATCGTAAACAAGTTACTTAATTTATCTGGGCTTCAGTTTCTCCATCTATAAAATGAAAGAATCATTTTAGCCAATTTCTACTCACTTGACCTACCTCATAAAAATGTAACAAAGAATAAAGAATGAAGCATGTAAAAATGCTCTGTAAACTATAAAGCACTATGCGAGCTTGAATATTATAATTCATAGTGTTAAAAGTACAACTCTTAGCCTGAAAATAATTCAGCCAGGTCATTCAAGGGATGGACTAATCTGTACACTCCAACGGGATGCCCCGTGGCCGAGCCTCCCTGGAGACACTGCATGAAGGCAGAGGCACAAGGCAGTGTGGAATGTGGAATGCCATAGCTCCAAGTCAGAGGTGTGGCCCGAGGTGGTAGCAGAGTTGCCCAGTTGGGAAAGGAAGGCAGAGAACTGGTTAGGTTGGGGACAGACAACTAGCAGGGCAGCCATGTGATTAAGTAAGGTGTTGAAAGGATGAGACACACATGAGAATAGGAGGGGCTGAAACAGTGGGAGGACAGAGCTGAACAGTAATCAGGAATGCTCAGACCATAATCTGTAACCTAGCCTTGATAATAGAAATCCCCAAATTTGTAAATTGCAAGTTGCATAAAAGGGATTAAGAATTTTTCTCCTCTTGGGGCACCTGGGTGGCTCAGTCAGTTTAAGTGGTCAGCTCTTGGTTTCCACTCAGGTCATGATCTCAGGATCCTGGGATTGAGCCTCTCGTGGAGCCCTGTGTAGGGTTCCACACTCAATGGGAAGTCTACTTGAGGATTCTTTCTTTCTCTCCCTTTCCCTCTGCCCCTCCCCCCCCACTCTCTCTCTCTCTCAAAAAAAAAATATTTTTTAAAAAAAGAATTTCCTCCTCTTCAGTTACTCATTAAATTGGATATACTATTAAATTGCTGTTTTGCTTTTAGATATATCAACTTATTAAAATAAACCAATTGTTTATTTTTTAAAATCCTAAAATATATTTTGTGTAATAAAAATATCAGTGTTTAAACAAATGCATTGAAATAACACAAAAAGTGGTCAATTTCAGCAGGAAAGTACTTGTCTGTATTATGCAATCCGGAAAACAAAATCATGGTTCAGTAAAATTCAGAGCAATTACATGTGGCCAGGAAGAGGCCATTTACCCATACTCTGATGTGACACAATGCCTCTGAAACTCGAACTACTATTAATCCACATACACATATAAACAGAGCTCTTCCAGAATCCTCTCCTCATGTCCCCAATTCATTTTTTTCCTATTATATCTAAGTATCTCCCAGGGATATTTTTCTTTTCTGTCTCTAATCTTTTCTCCAGGGGTAAACAATAAAGAATTTTTTTATTCCCCCACCTGCTTAAGATGACATACTGGTTAATTAATCTCTTGGTCTATTTTTTAAAGTTGCTTAAAATACACATTTCCTATAAGTAACTACCTTCAATCATCAAAATACATGAACAAGGGGAGGAACTGTACACAAAAGAATTTCCAAAGGATCAAGCCAATATTTTGACCAATTGTACATAGTACTATTCAGCTTTTTTGTTAACACTCACCAAAACTAAGCATTCAGCATTTCAGCCCTACATATGCATAGTCCCACAGCCCCACCTTTATGTCCCACCATTTAAAAAAAATTTTTTTTAATTTGAGAGAGAGATAGAGCATGATCAGGGGGAAAGGGCAGAGGGAGAGGGAGAAGCAGATTCCCTGCTGAGCAGGAAGCCTGACACGGGGTTCGATCCCAGGACTCCAGGATCATGACCTGAACCCAAGGCAGATGCTTAACCGACTGAGCCACCCAAGCACTCCTATGTCCCACCATTTTTAAAACACAGAAGGCCAAGGGCATCAGCTTCTTGCTATGATCACCTATAAGGTGGGAGAGTTGAGAGAGTGAATAAGAAGAAAAAGCAATAATGCAGAAAGATGTATTTTCCAATGTGTTCCCCCATAAGCAGTATTTACTGAGCTTTGTTACTGTTCATCAAAATGTTTGCTCTTACAGAGCAATACTGCTTTAAGGGATCCTGGACATTTAAACAGAGCTTAAATTATGTCCAGATTATGACTGGCCATGGGTATCGCTCAGACCTGTGGATACAGGTTGCACAACTATTTTTCCAGAATCCCTCATCCTCAACCATCCCCCCTTTAAGTGTTACATGTTTCTTGAAAGTGAAAGAAATAACCTTTCAAAACCTCAGATGATTATCATGCTCCAAATAAATGGTAGACCAATTTCTGAAATTATTAACACTTCTCTGCATATCCCCAAGGAAAAAATCAGAACACTGCACTTAATGATTTAAAATGCTGTAAGTGAATAGAAAGAAGTATATCACATAGAGTGAGGCTTTTCTAAGAGACTGTACCAATTTGTCTCCTAACTGAAAATTCATGCTGCCGTTAGGCATAATTTTTAAAATTTTCTATTATGAACCCAACTGTCCCAAATATCTGGTTCTGTTTCCCAATTACAGTATTGACTCTACGGATATTATAGTATTTGCTCCACCCCACCCCCCACCCCGGCTGCCTCCTCATTCAGCAGGACAGTGCCAACAAGGAGTCATCAGCTTAGCACTTTCCAGTCTGCAGCTGCTCTGTCAAGGGGCAGCCCTGAGATCCCTTTCTCTCATCTCTCATCTTTTCGTTCCCGTGGAAAGGATCTGCCTGTCATCCTTGCACCCTCTGAGCAAGGCGGACCCCTTAGCTAACAGGTGCTCACTTGGTGGAAGAGCCTCGTCCACCCTCTGGTAGCGGCTAACATCTTGGCGCACTGAAGGCAGCGATCTCAATGGCTGGTGGCCATTGGCCTGAGAACCTAGGATTAAAGAGAAAAAGGTACGTGGGTAGTGTTTTCCCCTTCAGTGTCAAAACAGTCTTTGTGAAAAACAAAAACAAAACCAAACAACAACAACAATACCCAACATAAATCCTAGAGCTAGTCTCTTTCCTCTCTTTAGTCTCCTTTTCCATATGAGGACCCAGAAACAAAAGAAAAGAACAAGAGCTGAATGCTCAATCAGAAGAGGGTCTTCTAGAGAAATGTCTCTCTCTCTACCCATCCCCCCCCCCCACTTTCTCCTCTCCTGGCTGGTCCTGGTCATGCACCAATGTTTTAGGGCCACATAATGGCCGCAAGATGATGAAGGAAACAAAAACAAAAATAAAAGGAAAAGAGGAGGAGGAGAAAAAGGGGATACTTTAGGTAGAAAAATAAATTACAGAATAAGAAAATCATTCCCATTTCTGAGTCTGAGCTATTTAGGCACAGTGAATTATCCTTAGACTTTCTGAATCATCAAAGGAAACATTCTACCAGGTCATGTTCATTGAGACATAATACAAATTTTATGTGTAAATCTGCATCCCCAGATACTAAAACAGCTTATTCTTCAAGTGTCAGAACGCATCACCTAACTTAGTTAACATTTTTCGTACTGCAGAAGTAAAAAATATTACAATTGATGCAAAGTACATATTAAGTTCTGTTTTGAGGGTTTTATACAAAGAGGAGTAACTTAAGATGTTCCTGAAAGTGGGGCGCCTGGGTGGCTCAGTCCTTAAGCGTCTGCCTTCGGCTCAGGTCATGATCCCAGGGTCCTGGGATCAAGCCCCGCATCGGGCTCCCTGATCGGCGGGAAGCCTGCTTCTCCCTCTCCCACTCGCCCTCTTGTGTTCCCTCTCTCGCTGTGTCTCTCTCTGTCAAATAAATAAATAAAATCTTAAAAAAAAAAAAGATGTTCCTGAAAGCCTCTACACATTACACTGATGTTAAAGCTGTCAGCCTGTTTGGTTTTGTATCTACAAACCCAGGGCCCACTGGAGATTCATTATTGAAATTTGAAGACTTCCATTTGACAGGCCTCTTATTTCAAAAACAGAAGATCTGTTTAAAAAAAAAAAAAAAAGCTAACTGTTGAGGACCAAGGTGAAGAAAAGAATTCAGATAACATGCGACCTGCAGTATAATTTACATTGAGGGACAAAACCCCAAGACTTCTCTTGCAGCGGTATGCTTGAGCCAAGAGCCATACCGACTTGTACATCCTACCTCCGGTGGCGCCCTCCTCCTGGGCAGTGGCCCCTTCACAAGCCCCGTGGGCATCCCCGGCATCACCCTCTTCTTGGGGCTGGCTCTCAGCAGCAGCAGCTCCCTCCAGGCTCCCCCGCCGCTGCCAGACCTCCCCCACCTCCTCCTGGTGAGGTAGAGGGGCCGAGTCTGCCCCTGGCCTTTCCTCCTCTCCACTGGGCGCCTGCACCACAGGTAAAGCACTGGGAGTGCGTATGGAATCCTGCGACCCTTCCGCGGGGCCACTGCTGATGGGTTCTGCTGCGCAGGCTCCATCTTCCTCCTCCTGAGAGGAAAAGGCCGGGGTTTCGGGAAAGCGTGCACTCTCAAGAGACGAGCACCGCGTGTCCACCGAGGAGAGCTGTGTGGTAACGCTCTCATTGCAGGAGCTGTCGGCGCCTTCCAGGTCGCTCTCGCCCTCCGGCCGCGTGCTGGCCTCGCTCACGCTCTCTGTCCTGGCAGGGTCACTGGGCTCTGTTTCAGAGGATACCTGGGAAGGCTCAGACCCCTGATCCAGGGACTCAGTCTCACTGATGGCTCTGCGGCTTCCTCCTGACGTGTCGGAAGTCCCCGTGTCTGCCCCACTCGTGGGCTGATCCACCTCCTGAGAGCCACACAATTCGGTGCTGCCCTGGTCAGCACTTGGTTGAGACTCTGGGCCATTTTCGCTTTCATCTGGGACTGGGCCTGGGGGTAAGGAGGCCTCTGCCAGCTCTGGAAGATGTTCTGGCTTATCCTCGAAGGAAGCGGCTTCATTTGTGGGGGCTTCCTCCACCTCCACTGGGTTGTCTTCTGGCTTTGTCTGTGATGTCAGGCTCACATCATCAGTTCTTGATGCCGTGCCAAACATTATTAGCCCTCCCTCCTCCTCCAAGGAAGATGGATATCCTAGGTCTTGCTGGAACTCGTGGTCTTCCTCATCTGAGTCGATATGAAGCATTGCATTGAGTCTTGTGTCAGTGGGAAAACTACTCCTTAGTTTTGGAGAGGCTCCCATGGACCTCTCCGAGCAGGTGGCCGTGCCCGGCCTGGAATGGCCATTGTGTTCAATCGCATCTAAGTAATCATTGAGTGAATCCTGACGTCCTCGGAGAGGTGAGGTCCTTGAAGAAGTAGAGGTTAATTCCTCTGTGTCTATTTCCAGAGTAGAGCTAGTCCTGAGAGAATGCTTGGGCGTCCCATCAGCAGCACTGTCCTCAGAAACTGGTCCATTAGAACAAACGGGGCTGTCATGATGGCCCCCAGGCATGTCCTCCTCATCAGAAGGGCTTCCTAGGTCTCCATTTACAGTATTGACCCCAAGTATTGTGCCAACAGCTTCTGGAGAAGCATCTAAAGGAGAAAACAGCATTTATTAAAACAAAGTGGTAATAACAAATGAACTTTTAATGTCCTATTCCTTTGCCACCCATCAGTTCAACAAATTCAGTCATCCCATTAAGGCCTCTTTACAGTATAATTGCCTTGAGAAGATAAGCAACTCACTACTAAATGAGTATCTTGTTGGTTAGTTTGACATATGAAGTGTCTATGTTCACTATTACTAGAAATTCTATAGCCCAGTTTCCAAACACAGGCATAAACCTAAGAGATATTTTTGATAAACAAGCTTGCCTATCTGCTTGGGAAACTTCAGAAGGTAATCACTTATTAGCCGTTTATTTTCAAAACAGGACACAAATTCAAATTCTATTCAAATATAAACTAACAACTGAGTAAGACTTATCAAGTTTTTCCTACAGTGATGTATTCACACAGCTATCTCACCTTCGTGCACAGAAGACGTAACCTCCACTTTAAACTGGAGGTACCCGCTCACGTGGTCAGCTGGGAGCCTGCGGCCAAGGTTGTAGCTGAGCATTTGGTCGCTGCAAGAGGAGAAATGGTTCTTTCCTTACTACACTGGTGTCAGCCTTCACCTCCTCCAGCAGGCCACCCCCAAATCTCACACACTTCTCTTAAAACTTTCACACTCACCAGAAAATACAACGCTCGAAGGCATGTTATAGTCCAATGTAATATGATTCATTCCCACAAAGGAAAACTTATAAGCCCCCCGACCCAGGATGCAACGAAATCTTGTTATAAGCCGAAAACGCAACACAGTATCACGTGATTTTCTTAAAGGGGACTGATGTGCTCTCTCACTGCTAACAGTGACCAGGAAAAGAGCATTCTCAAGGTCATCAAGTAGCTGTGAAAGGTCTACAGTTTGGGTTATTTTTCGACTCAGGTATAAAAGCGTAAGAGGGCCTGGCTCTTCAGCATTTAGCACAATAGGAAACTGGTCCTACGAGGACACAACAGGCAAGGACTATCACACAAGGACGGGCGGGGGGGCGGGGGGCACTTCACTACTGTACTTGAGGAGTAGGGGCTGGGAGTTAGGAGACATCAGGGTGAGAAGTGTCTGCCCCTGACAGCCGCTGCAGCTGTGGGAGGGGAGCATGCCACTGGACCTCCCCTCCTCACCTGCAGAGTAAGGGGACCGGAGCTGCTGGCCCCCACCGGGGGGAGCCTGGCTATCACTGCTTCCCAGCATGCCTTGCAAGAGATGCTAATGGAGAAGCTAGGTGTGCTGCTGGGGTGGTGTCTTGTTGCCGCCCCACGAGGCGTGCTAGAGGGCACCCCACCAGGGCCCCACCTTGGCCCCCCACTCAGGCTACCAGCCTCTTTGAGGATGAAGTTGTCAATCTTTTTCAATTCTGTGTTTATTTAATCAAAGTCAAATGCAATTACATCATGACCTTGTCTGAAGCAGCTTGCATTCTCAATCTAATTTATTCTTAATTAAGGAAAATAATCAAAGGGATAGTACGAAATCATACTATCTCTGCTCTCACACTGCCCTCTACTGGCAACTTCAGAAGGAAAACAACACCTTTGCCTAATACTTGCACCGCTGTGCAGCTTAGAGCCACTAGTCTGCTATTTATTATTAATGTGCAGCACAGTTTTGTTTGTCCGTCTCTACCTTCTCAGGACAATTCCAAATAGATGTCACCCCTTTAAAAGACACACATGTGTGACTGTAAAATCCCGGTTCAGCTCTTAGGGATCTTTCTGACTTCTTAGCAAGAATTTCTTAAAACTGTAAGATTATTTTCTTCTTCCTTTTTCTTTTCTTTCCTAGAAACGAGGTAATAGTTTTTGTCTCGATTGATGCTTTTAAAATGTCATCAGGGAAATTCAAATCAAAACTACATTGAGATACCACCTTACACCAGTTAGAATGGCAAAAATGGACAGGGAAAGAAACAACAAATGTTGGAGAGGTTGTGGAGAAAGGGGAACCCTCTTACACTGCTGGTGGGAATGCAAGTTGGTACAGCCACTTTGGAAAACAGTGTGGAGGTGCCTCAAAAATTTAAAAATAGAGCTACCCTATGACCCAGCAATTGCACTACTGGGTATTTACCCCAAAGACCCAGATGTAGTGAAAAGAAGGGCCATATGCACCCCAATGTTCATAGTAGCAATGTCCGCAATAGCCAAACTGTGGAAAGAGCCGAGATGCCCTTCAACAGATGAATGGATAAAGAAGATGTGGTCCATATATACAATGGAATATTACTCAGCCATCAGAAAGGATGATCAACTTTTACATCAACATGGATGGGACTGGAGGGGATTATGCTAAGTGAAATAAGTCAAGCAGAGAAAGTCAATTATCATATGGTTTCACTTATTTGTGGAACATAAGGAATAGCATGGAGGACATTAGGAGAAGGAAGGGAAGAATGAAGGGGAGGAATCGCAGGGGGAGACGAACCATAAGAGACCATGGACTCTGAGAAACAAACTGAGGGTTCTAGAGGGGAGGGGGGTGGGAGGATGGGTTAGCCTGGTGATGGGTATTAAGGAGGGCATGTACTGCATGGAGCACTGGGTGTTATGCACAAACAATGAATCATGGAACACTACATCAAAAACTAATGAAGTACTGTATGGTGACTAACATAACATAATAAAATTAAATTAAAAAATATATATATCATATATTAGAAAGAAAAAAATAAATAAAATAAAATGCTTTGGTTTCCCAATGTGAGTGCTTCACGTGTGCCACGTGCACTCTGCTAAGGGCTCACCCTGCACTGTCTCTCAGCCTGGCAGGCAGGTGGCAGCTCTGTTTTCTAGAGGAGGACACCAAGGCGTGGGGAGGGTAAGTGACTTGTCTAAGGCCAGACAAGTACTGAGTGACAGAACCGGGATGAGAACACAGATTCATCTGACGCAGAAGGTCCTGCCCTGCAGTCACCACACTACCATCTCGCTTTATGTCTTCTCAGTGGTTCTAGGCTGCTTTCAGGAGCATGCACTTTAATGACATAATTTACTCATGGCTCATCTACATGTGACTGCTATTCTGATAGTGCCTTTCCTACTTAAACCGGTATTTTTCAAAAACCTTTTCTGCAAAAGGGTATATAGGCATTTCTTACTATTAGACGGTAGAGTTATGCTACTTTTACATTAAAGTGTTCAAATAACATCATATAATGGCTATAATCTGCATAATAGCAGGGCTGTCTTTTTCTTTCTCTTACCACTGTCTTCCCAGAATTTAGACATCGCCTAACACACAGAGGTGCCTGATCTTTGCCCACTAAGGCATGAACCTAGCAGCAAATTACACAGGCCTGTCCTCAACGTTGTGGTTCCTCACCCATCTCTTTGGACATTAAGTCCCAGAATAATTAAACCTTCATTTCTTTGTTAAAAATAAATTGATCCTCATCTTCTCTTCCTCAGCCAGTAAAAGAAAGTGTTGGTGCTGATAATGGACAATTTCTAAAAATGATAGATTTTAGCTAGGAAATAAATGTTTAGTAGGAATTGTAAGAAAAGAACTGCATCCATCTGTGTTGCTCATTGTCATATCCCCAATACCGAACAGCATGTTTAACATTTAGTAAACAGTATACATGTATACACACATCATTTGTTGAATAAATTAATTAACAAATGAGACTCTTGGAAAGAAGAATTTTAACAGGTGATAGTACTGTTTATTAACCAAACTAGCCAGATACTCAATTCAACTATTCAACCTATAAATACAGGAAATCCTCCTATTCAGAGATTCTGAGTCAAGGGTTTCATCCTTTGTTGAGTGCCTGTCAGAGGAGTCACCTACTTTCTTTTTCTTTCTTTCTTTCTTTCTTTCTTTCTTTCTTTCTTTCTTTCTTTCTTTCTTTCTTTCTTTCTTCCTTTCTGTTTTTATTTATTTGGGGTTTTTTTAATATACTTTTTTTCTTTTATTTTTGTTATTTTTTGTTTTTTTTCTTTTTCATCTTTGTGCCTCCTTGTTCTTACCTAGTCTTATCTGACTCATCTTGCTTCTTGCTGTGATATATTACTGTGAACAATATATTATATATTATTATGAAACACGATTATGAAGAATAAATGCCAAAGTACTCTCACTACCTGAGGCATTCTCTCTCTAATGTAATCAGAGGGATTGACAAAGCATAGGAAAGTGATGTGTATTTTGGACAAATGTGGGCCACTCTCTGAAAAATATCACATTCAAACAAATGCTCTCAAAATAGGTAATTAGTAAAAAGTTCTAGCTCATCCTACAAAACCACACTCTATAAAACCTCAACTACTTCAGAGGGCTGCAATCTACCAAACATAGAAGTAATGAAAACCCAGCACTTTTCAAGATGAATCAATTACTTGGTGGAAAGCAATAATCAGATCAGGAATATATATTTAGGTATTAATAGTTGATATATCAATATGTAGTATCATTCTTAATAAAGCAAATCCCAAGTAATTGTATCAGACAATATTTTTAATATACAGAGACATTTCGTAATTCCAATATTTTACAAATTCACGCTGGACTTCCTTCTAATACACACCAATTCATGACTGGCAGTTCTTGAAGTGTCCAATTGTTTAAAAGACTAAATGAAAAGCCAGCAAGTCAACAACGGTTTCACACACTGAAAAGGTTTTATTTTGCCTTGATCATTCTTACTGGTGTACATAAATTCACACTTTTATCACGTGTCATATATATTCTGTAAATTATATGATGATAATTATATAAATTAAATTATAGATATACTGTATTTACCATAGTTATCTTTCTCTTTTAAATCTTTCACTTTTTATAAATCCTAAAAATAACTTTTAAAAAACTTCCTAATGTAAACGATCTCTACCAGAAGCAATAATTGTGATTTCCTAGCTTTTATCAAATAAACCAGGCACTAGAATTTCAGTATAATATTCCTACTTCATGTGTGCTGGCTCGACCACAAATTCCATTGTCTCTGATGGCCAGAGAATTAAAATCCATTATAATCTCTTAGTTTCAGATTTTGAAGGGGCCTTCGAGTTCAGCTGGTCTAAACTCCGTATTTTTCAATGAGGAATGCCCAAGTAAGTTATGACGTGCCAAAATAAAACAGTCCATTAGTTGCAGAATGAATATGAATGATCAACCTCCCTTAGTTAGCCGGAATAATAACACACTGCTGCCCGTCCTTGAAGTGTTGTAGAGAAGCCAGGATTCTAGAGCAGACTGATCTGCACTCAAGTCCCAGCTCCACCTGTCGCTTGCTAGTCTCAGATTCCTCATCTCGGAAATGGGTATAATCACCCTTTTTATCTCCCAGAGCTGCTGAGAAGGTCACATGGGTTAATGAGAACAAAGTACTTAAGCTCTGACCTAGAATAAACTCTCGGCATCTTTTCAGCTTGTTCACTTTTATTTATTACTATTGCTACTACCATTGTTACCACTTCTGCTGCCACTGCAACCATGACCACTACTACCATTTGCTCGTGTTTTCTTACGGTGAAGAAGATACCAAAACAGTACCCTCAGTGCTACCTCAGAGCAGCAGCGGTACTGAGTTTGCTGGGAACAACCACGCAGAAATACATATACACCGTTTATGATAAGGGATGTTACGATTTCTTAACTAGTTTATTCACAACTTACAAAAAGCTCACGGAAAGAAAACAGGCATCAAATCACATTTTAAAATTCTCGCAATGAGTAAATTTTAGTTGTCTGAATGAATGTATAGGTCTAGGAGCTCTACGATAATACCCCCTACGAGTCAAGGTCTTATTTTAAATGGCCCTAAAACAAGGTTGTTTTTTGTTATTCAGGAATAGCAAGTTGTCTGGATGGGATTAATTAGGACAAGGGAGCTGTCGACCTGACTCTAGAATCCAGCTCTAGCGAGAGACTTTTACTGAAAGATTTCAGTATACTCAAAAGCAATTGAGTGCTATGACATTTGACACAGAAATGTTAATGGTAGGCACATCTTGGAAAAGATAGATACAAAAAAAAAAGGTATATAATGAAAACAAATTGCTTTTGTCCTGCACAGTTTAATGAGTATATGCAAACACTTTCATTTTTAAAAGAATTATCTTACCACTTCTTCTCAGTAAAAGTCCTAGGACTACAAAGTTTCATTTCAGTTGCTTCTGTGCAAACTAATCTCAACAAGATCCCTACAAGTGGGGTCTGATTACCCAATGGCTTGCCGCTCCAGCAATCTCTGGACTGGAATGGTTAGTTTCCCCAGAAAACGCTTGATGATGGGACGGCTCTTGGCAAATTTGTCTTTAATTTCAATTTCTAAGACATCAGTAAGAAGTGCAAAAAAGGAATATTTCTGAAAACGAAAACAGATAACATGTTGATTCAGAAGAAAGACAAACATGAAATTATATCATTTCATTATTACAGAAAATGGTATCTCTTAAATCCTAATGACTTAGAGTCCACATTGCTAGAAATATCTGCAGCCACTGTCCATCCTCTGTTCATTTAGAATCATTAGCATTCACAGTGATTACAGGCACCAGTTAAGGATCTGCAGGACAAAAGAAGCTCCTTCAATCATTCAGCCCTTCCTGGTTCAACATTCTATGGAGATGCTATCAAATATTAAATTGTACACAATGCAATTTTAGTACTTACCGCATTTATTGTATCTCAATTCTTTGAAATTTAATACCCTGTTACAGGATGGTTTCGAATTATCACTGGGTTTGGTTAAGAGCAATTTTAATTCCTCATCCTATGGGATTCTGAAGTTGTACAGCACAGGTTAAAATACTCTTCCACGGGCGCCTGGGTGGCTCAGTTGGTTAAGCGACTGCCTTCGGCTCAGGTCATGATCCTGGAGTCCCAGGATCGAGTCCCGCATCCCGCATCGGGCTCCCTGCTCGGCAGGGAGTCTGCTTCTCCCTCTGACCCTCCTCCCTCTCATGCTCTCTGTCTCTCATTCTCTCTGTCTCAAATAAATAAATAAAAGCTTAAAAAAAATTTAAAAAAAAAATACTCTTCCACTTAGTGGCTAAAGTCGGAACACCTATAGAATACTGTGGTTTCTCTGATAAATATCAGAATAAAAAATGTTTCAATGGAAAGTACTTAATTTAAAGGCACACGGGACAGAAAAATAAAAATATGAAGTTAACGTAAGCTTTGTTGTTTTGCTTAGGAATGCCATTAGAGAGAATCAGATTGGCTATTAATAAGAATACAAAATAAATATAAAAAGCTTTATTCATTTACAAAGGCTGTCACGTACATTACCTTCATGTTATCTTTACAAATACTATTTTCAAGGATGAGATCTCAGGATAAGGAAGTGATGGGGCCAGAATCTAACCTGAACCATTTCGCCCCTTCCCTGACATTATCCACTCAACCACAGTGATGCGAACGGTGCCAGCCAGTCTTACACTTAGGCACCGCTAAGTTCATTTAGTCATAACAATTAAAGTTCTGCCAAGGGCCATGGAGTCTAGTAATCTGCTGAATGGAAAAAGCACTTGCTGAGTATAAGAGAGCTGAGTTTAAGCACTACCTGTGTCTCTGAGCAGCTAGTTACATAAACCTTTCAAGCTTCATTTTCTTAATCATCAAAATGGAGAGATGATGATCTCATCCCTTATGCCTCCTTATTAGGCATACACTGGTTATGCCTAACCAGTAACATGGTTAAGAACTTTGTAAATATAAAATGTTAGCATTTTATACTATACTTTGTAAATATAAAATGTTAGCAAAAGAAAGTTGTTGCCAGTATCATTCCTATATCCACTATGTTCCTTCTAGAGCTCATAGTGAGATGCATGTTATGTCTTCTAGGCTTCTAAATGTGTTAAATTAAGTGGTATGCCTTTAAGAGTTATTTACTATTTGGAGATCATAAGTAGTTTTTTAAACCAGGTGTTAAGAATACATGCAGTATTTAATCCATTTAAATAACCATAAGAACTTCTCAGGAGAAACATCTTGCTGTGCTGGCAAGTCTCAAATAGCCATACCTTTTTTTTCCAATTGGTTTTAGACCCCCTGAACTATCTCCCGCCCCAGTGAAATATTTCTACAAAACTATTAGAACATATTGTTGTCATTAAACATTTAGGGAATGATCTGACTCATTGTATAACTCCTATGCCAATGAACGTTTATCCAGAAACACTCTAACACTAGTAGGTGAAACATGTCTTGGATCTCCGAGAAATGGTGGGAGAGCTCCTACTTTGTTCAGTAGATGAGAAACAATGTCTCTGTTCGGTCCACTTGACTTTAATGATGCAGTGCACTAAGATGACAGGTAGCATAATGTAGCTGTGAGGAACTCTAAGGTATCTATCATCAACACATCAACAATCTGGCTTCACTCAGGATGACGAGTCCTTGAATAGCTTATTTAATTAACCAAAATCTAGAAATCCGAAAAACATTTGCCAAAGCCCATAGGGAGAGAAATTCCCTTAATCCATACTGAATATATACTAGAACAAAACATTGGGAGGGCTTTTAAAGTTTTTTATTTTAATTCCAGTTAGTTAACATAAATGTTGTATTAGTCTCAGGTACAAAAACATAAAATTTTAAACAAAAATAGGATTGGTGTTACTGACTTTTCCTTCTGCCTCAGGCTCTAATATGGCTCGGCAAGGCATGATTACTGACCCTGTCCTTACTTAAAATTTTAATATTTGTTCATCATGAATTTTTTTGCATTGATTTTGATTTTTCTAAAAAAATTTTCATTAAAATATTAATTTTGATGATTGAGTCTTTTGGCCCCCTTAAGTCGTGCATCTGAGGTAAGGACTTCACTTGCTTTGCCCTACACCTGGCCTTGGCTACAAGGGACTATCTCATTCTCGTCCCTCTTTCTAACAGAACCCCGAGACCCCTCAGCCATCCTGCCATGCTCATAAACAGCTCAATGATACACAGAACAGAGATGGACTTGGCCAACTTCCTGTCAAGTAGAAGACCCCTGAGGATCATCTTACCTCTCGGTGCCAAATTGGATTAGTGGTGTTACTGATGATAGTAGACCTTCTCTCCTGCCCATGGTGCGCACAGGTGGGGAAACTGCTCTTCTTCCCTGGCTGAATGGACATCTTAAGATAAGGGTCAGGATTGAAGAACATCCCTTTCTTTAGCCCAACTGCTCTAAGATCTTGAAAGAGAGGAGGGAGGGTGGGGAAGAGAGAGGGATGGGTAAACAATAGCAAAACAATCACAAAGTTATTCACAGTATGATCACTTAGATAAGTGAGGACAAGTGAGTTATGACTAATTCCAGCAAGGGGGGGGGGGTTCTCCTGACAGGCCACAGAAACGAAGCCAAACATTTACCATCACCTTACGCACCTAAACTGACTTTGCCTGGGAATCATCTTGATTCTAACATGCGCATCTTCACATGGTCTGGCAAACAGCATTTCAAACAGTATCTTGAGAAAAATTCTTGGCAACAGTTTATTTATTTATTTTAAAGATTTTATTTATTTATTTGACAGAGATAGCAGGGGGAGTGGGAGAGGAAGACAAGCAGGGGGAGTGGGAGAGGAAGAAGCAGGCTTCCTGCAGAGCAGGGAGCCCAATGTGGGGCTCGATCCCAGGACCCTGGGATCATGAACTGAGCCGAAGGCAGACGCTTAATGACTGAGCCACCCAGGCTCCCCAGTAGTTTATTTTTTAAAAAAGAATTCTAATATGTTCTTTCATGAGAGAAAAATTAAATCTTCTACATACATATATGAAATTACAGACCTATGTTTAATTGGGGATAAAACTCGAGAGCACATATTCAGTTGTACCACATTTAAAATGTCATATATACTCCACAAATGTAATGAATGTTAGGGGAAAAGGAGGCCAGAAATATTTCTAAAATTTGAATGCCACCTGCTGTATTAAGTGATTATGAGGTTACTGTTTAGGAACTTACATATTTGATGACTGTGTCAGAACTCATCTTAGATTCACTAGTTGTTATTTCACACTAGGTGAGCTGCTAAAATTTCTGGCTAAAGTCTGGTAAGTGAAGAGACTTTTAAAAGGAGTCAGGCTAAGGGATACAAACATGTCAGGCAATAAACCCAGATCCGCTGGGTCCTCGACACCTTTCTGAGAATATTAGTGTGAATAAGATTGGCCTGAGAGCTAAGTGATCTTCAAAGCTTCTGCAATCATAGACTGTTTCTAAGTAACTTGATGCAATTATAATCAGTCTAGGGAGGTGCTGACTCTTGGTCCAGCGAGAAATTCGGCAGATGCCTCTGAAGCTTCAGAGATCTTTGGATTACCCAGATCAGTAATTTATGGTGACCTTAAATTATAGGAGGTCACCTGAGTCACCCTACTCAGGCCCATTCATTTTTTTTTAATGTGGGCTCCACGCTGGACCTAACATGGGGCCTGAACGCACGACCCTGAGATCAAGACCTGAGCTGAGATCAAGAGTCAGACGCCCCACCGACTGAGCCACCAAGGCACCCCTCAAGCCCATTCTTGAAACACGGTCTTTCTCAGTAGGACAGAATTGGCCTGGGGTTGCCCATAGAACCATATTCTCTAGGGAGTGCTGCCTGGAGGAGGCTCCCCCATGGCCGACAAGAACTTATGGCCTAGCGTGTTGGCCGATGACAACTGATGGGAAGCAGAGGAGGCAGTTTTAATATGTCGGCAAAGGTTGAAAAATTCAACCAGAAAGCCTTCATGTTAAGGACACTGCATGAAATACAGTAAGATGTTTGCTCTGAAAACCAACGGCAGAAGGGAAAGATGAGTAAGGAACTAGACAGGCTCTTCAGGGAAGCCGCTGTAAGCTCATTAGCCTTACAGCCCCCCAGTCCCGGCACTTCACAAGCTACGGAGTCATTATTAATACAGCATCTGCCTCTGACTATCAATTTAATAATGCTACATGTTTTCACTTGGCTTTAGTTAGCATAAAATAGCTTCAAGAGAAAAACACCATTTGCATATTTATTTTCTTATCTTTCTTGATTATGCTTGCCCCAGACTCAAAGACAGAAGAATAATATTCTTTAGATATTAAATTTACTCCTAAAGAAGGGATTTCTTTGCAGTAAATGAGGAGTAACATGTACAGAAATGGCTGCCACAAAGCCTGACAGAGCTAAATTATTCATGCAAAGCCTTCCTTTGAACAAAAAGCATCCCATTGGAAGATTAAGCCACCATGATGAAGGATGTCACTATTAAATAACCCTCATACCAAATTTTGCCACAAGGAACACTGTACAAATAAATCTCCATTAATAAATGTAAGAAATTACCAATTATTTGTAGTTTGATTATTCAGTTCCCTTATCCATCTCATTCCTGCTCTTGCTTCTCCCTTTTGTCTTTTATATATTTTATTGCTCATAAGTGTCCACATAACCTCATAGACCAAAAAAGAACTCAAAGTCACAAAGGTATGACATGTTAAATATCCTTGTTTAAAGTCTTATATGGAGAAGAGGATGAAGATATTCATCAAAACACAGTTTTTGTTTTAGATGTAGAATTCAATTATTTATGTCCCTACTTACCATAGATAATCAAGAGTAGAACATTTGCAGGTAGCCATTCTACAGAACTTAAATGCTCTTGGATAAATATTACCATTCACTGTCAACATGCTACAACTGGATTAATTTTTCAGAATTACCATTATAGAACTGCTTTCATCTTCTATAATTTTTAGCCCCTTCTGTACACCATCTGCAAATATCTGACAATACATTAGGAAATAAAACAGTTATAAAGTAGCCAGCCACCATGTGTATTGAGGTGGGATGTTAGAGGAAATTATATTTAAAGAAGGAGCATTTGGTGGTGCCCCAAAGCTTATTTCCTACTTTTAGAAAAATGTCCTGGGATTTTCAGCTTCTAGATGGTCATGCTCCTATGGGGAGTTAATTATCATCCCCTCGAGTCAAAATAGATCATATTTAGAATGATATTGATCACTTGAAAGCTTAGGGCAATGCTTCTAAACTAAGAAAACCATAGGATGGTCAAACTCTAAATTTTCTGAGCCATGAAGGTTGACTAATTGTTCCCTACCTATAAATGAAGGATTTCTGTACCTGCAGCCGCTCAGGGCTGTGAAGGTCTAAAGCATAGCCAGCTAAATGTTTTCAGGAGACACACAGATAATGAGGAGCAGGGGACTATTAACACTTGCCGTGGTACTTCTAAGTGCCCTTCTAAAAACCTAGTTACATTTTAAACCCTGAGGGGTCCAACCAAAACATACGTATTGGCTAAATTTGAAGCATAAGCCACCAGTTTACGACTTCCGAGATTTTGCCAGAGAATCAAAGCAAAAAAGGCTTTCACAGTAAGCAACCTCACATGGGAGAGAAGGAACATGCTAGAACAGAAATGGACACTCCGAAGGCAAAGGCCAGCAATGAACTAATGTGCACACTTTCATCATAGGTGGTGATCATGCATCATGGAAATGTCTGTTTTCAAGATCAGCTTTCTCTCACTCTTGAGAATGTCAATTTTCATTCACAACACTTTTTGCAGCCAAGAAAAGTGAATCTAATTTAAATTTCAGAAGCACTGTACCCATGGAAAAATGAAAACAAAACATCTTACGGTGACAGACATCTTTTCGACTGCATTTTGTATGTATCGTAGCACAGTTTTCTATTTTAAAAGTCCATTTCAAATACTGATTTTCTTAGTGCAAATCTTGACTTTATAAGTGCCAATTAATTTTTTTTAAATCAGTAGCTTTCAAATTTTTTTTATTTTTTTATTATGTTATGTTAATCACCATATATTACATCGTTAGTTTTTGATGTAGTGTTCCATGATTCATTGTTTGTGTGTAACACCCAGTGCTCCATGCAGAACGTGCCCTCTGTAATACCCATCTAACCCATCCTCCCACCCCACCCCCAGAGCCCTCAGTTTGTTTTCCAGAGTCCATCATCTCTCATGGTTCATCTCCCCCTTCAATTTCCCCCCCTTCATTCTTCCCCTCCTGCTATCTTTTTTTTTTTAACATATAATGTATTATTTGTTTCAGAGGTGCAGATCTGTGATTCAACAGTCTTGCACAATTCACAGTGCATGAAATCTAGTTTACTCTGAAATCCAGTACACCCATGCATAAGTGTGTGTACTTTTTGTGCGAAAGTTTTCAGTTTGTATAAACTGATGTTTTATGAAAAAATATTTCCCTTTAGTGTAAAACTCTGATTTTTTTTCCTATTCTTTTTTTTTTAACTGCTGGTTTTAACTAAATTAAACTTACAAAACACAAATGAGTTCCAACTCAAAATCTGAAAAGCAGTGTTTTTTTCATAAACATATAAGCAATTAGAGTATTTCACTAACCAGAAAATAAACAAAAAATTGTCTTATCAGGGGCACCTGGGTGGCTCAGCTGGTTAAGCGACTGCCTTCGGCTCAGGTCATGATCCTGGAGTCCCGGGATCGAGTCCCACATCGGGCTCCTTGCTCGGCAGGGAGTCTGCTTCTCCCTCTGACCCTCGCCCTCTCATGCTCTCTCATTCTCACTCTCAAATAAATAAATAAAATCTTTAAAAAAAAAATTGTCTTATCAGCTTTCCAATTTTTATGTGTATTTCTCCACAGAAACAGGAGCATCCCTTGGCTTATTTTTCTTAGTCTCCAACTTTTTCCTTTCTCTAGATGAGCTAAGCACACCTTGTTTTCAAGAAACAAGGTGTTTCAAGGTTTTCAAGAGAAAGTTCTACAGTGGGGTGAGCACACATTACATTACAGTGTTCTTTTAAAGTAACTATACATAGTTGCAGTCTTTTTATCATTAGAAAACCTGGTGGATGAAATAAGCTCCAAGTTTATATTAATAATCTAATGGTAAGAAATATACTTGAATTTCCAGAAATATTACCAAAAAATATAAATAACTACTTCATATATAATACATGAGACTCTACAGACAAAAATGACCATTCATGTCTTTGAAATTATATATTTTCAAACTGGACATCATGTTTAAAGACATCCTTACCTGACAAGGTAAAGCTAACTAGTTTCCGAGAATGTTGATTTCCAGAAGCACCTCCTTCCATGCCTTCTGCCCCCATCTGCAGAGGAAAAGCACGTATTGGAAGTTTCACAGGAGTATGATGGTACTCAACTTTCTTAAGAAGCCACATATATTTGCAAATATAATGATTTTTTGTGTCAAACATGCATTGTAGTGTATGCCTTTTCATATGCTATACATCTTGGAATTGAGACATAAACGTATATTCTCAGAGATGAGAAAGTCATACCTCAATTTAATCTTTACCCCAAATGAAACCAACACAAACTTCTAAATTCCCTGGGATATGAATCAACATACTTCATGGCCTTTTATTTCTTTGGTAAGAATATAGTTGAGATGTAGTAATGCACTTATATTGCTATTACTGTATTAAAATAATCCTTTAAGTTAAAAACCAAACACCAAATTCCTTTAGATTTATTAGGAAAACAGAATAAACTAAACAGGTGATTTATATCAAGCTCATCCACATATATGCAGAATTGTCCTCTCTTGCCAAATATTTGAGTGACCATGTGGATGTTCCATTGCCCTTGTAGATTCCTATTTTATTTTGCTGCAGGTACATGGCACGTGGTATGATAATTAGCAATGACAGGAGTTTGCAATGCTGTCGTACTGGTTACTGTATTGTAAAAGTTTTCCTAAAAGCTTTCAAGTAAATTATATCTCACTTGAAACCAGTCATTTATGGACCACATAGCAGATCTAGGCTTTCTCTCAATTTATGTACAGTTAATGCTCAATTTGTAATATACTAGAAAAAAAAGAGTTTCCTGTTTCTCTAAAAAAGAAGTCCACAATACTAGAAGAGACAGAAGTGAAGGCAGAATGTATTTTGAATAGCTAGGAAACAGAAACCACATTTTAATTCTAAACTTTAGATTAAACCCTTGCATCTAATCTTTGCAGCACTCCCTTACTCCCTTAAAAATCACACACCACCAAATGCAAACTGGTGCAACCACTGTGGAAAACAGTATGTGGGTTCCTCAAAAAATTAAAAACAGAATTACCATATGATCCAGTAATTACACTACTGGGTATTTACCCAGGGAAAACAAAAACACTAATTTGAAAATATACATGCACCCCTATGTTTATTGCAGCATTATTTACAATAGCCAAGATATGGAAGCAGCCCAAGTGTCCACTGATAGATGAATGGATAAAGGCAATGTGATGCATATACACAATAGAATATTACTCAACCATAAAAAGAATGAAATCTTGCCATTTGCAACAATAGGGATAGAGCTAGAGAATATAATGCTAAGTGAAATAAGTTAGAGAAAGATAAACATCGCATGATTTTATTCATATATGGAATTTAAGAAACAAAACAAATGAACAAACAACAACAAAAAGATAAACAAAAAACCAGACTCTTAAATACAGAGAACAAACTGGTAGTTACCAGAGGAAAGCTGGGTGGGAGGATGGGTGAAATAGGTGATAAGGATTAAAGAGTACAATTATCATGATGAGCACTGAGTATTATGTGGAGTTGTTGAATAATTATATTGTACACCTGAAACTAATACTAACACTGCTAATTATACTTCAATCTTAAAAAAATCATATACTGCTAAGAGATAAAACTTTCACTAAGCCAAGCAAAGTTGAGCAATTTTAAAATAAATTCCATTCAAATTTTGAAATATAAATTTCTGCTTCCTTCTCTACTTCCTGTACCTTAATCAAAACTATATTGTATGGCACTTAACTGATTCCTGATGTTTTCAAATGTCATCTGCAATATACTTGGGTACCATCCAGGTATCCTCATTTTATCTCATCCATAAAACTACGACTTGATAATTCTGGGTTGGCTCTCAACAAGTATGCATGGTTTATTATATTGTGTTGTTCCCCTCTGACTCATCACCCCCAGCTTACCTGGAACAGAGACAGCAGCAAACTGACCAGATAATTGATGGCTGTCACTGTGTCATCCCGCTTTCACTGCACACACCCCTGGGCTATAGAGTGATGAACAGAGTGAGGTAGTACAGGATGCTACTGAGACAGACACTTAGCAACCTGCCCCTCCAAGTCCCGGGTACAGCCAGACATCTGATAAACCATAAGCCCCCCCCCCCAAATGGACCACACTGCCCAATGAGATGTGTTCCCTCCAAAAACATGATGTCTCTTCCTGCTAGGCCATAGTGCTGCTAAGTGAGTTAAATGAGATGGAAAAGGTTCATGGTCTGTCTTCACCTAAACTTATTTAAAATGTTATAAGCTATTACAGAAACACAAGAAAATGCCTTCGGACTCTCATTTTAAAAATATAAACTACTGTCTTACAAAAGGCTAATGTGAAACAATTCTCCCAGAATTCACAGATTGTGTCCTTTACTACAACTATGGCAAATGCTCATCTGAAATAATACTCAAAGAATTCAATTTTATCATTCATGACAATAAGGTCAGGAAAGACCAAACACTGTCGGTAGATATAGGGACATCAGTGATAAGAAACACATCTGCTCTCAATGTTTAGAGAGAGGTTTTTAAATAAACTCACTCCATAGATTCATTCCAGGAAAACCCAGAAGCAACACTGACAATCAAGTGTTGGAACAATATGTGGTAGTGAGTGATGCTAGCCTTTTTATGTCCCTGAAGCCAGAGGATTTCCTGTTCCAAGTGCCTGAGACACAAATCGCTGTGTACTCTGGTGAATGACAATGACGTCAAAGTGCAAATGACAGAAAAGACACAACTTTTTTTAATCCCTGATACATTGCAAAAGGACATATGAGAGAGGAGACCATAAGATGAGGATGGCAGCTCATTTCTTTCCCTACAGAGTAGCTCCACTACTTCTTCCAGGACTGTTCTTCGCATATGGTCATGGAATAATTAAACTAAAGACTTTTGTAAATGTCAGTGTTGTCAACCGGTCACACTAAATAGACGCATGTCTTATAACGAGGTGGCCACTGTGCTGTGATAGAAACACAGCATCATGAGGTGTCCATGTGGCACAGCCTTCCAATTTTGGATACAGACCCAATTGTCTCAGCTGGGTCAGAAACCTACTGACCACCAATTTCATTAGTCACCCCTTGAACCAAAATATTCTGGCTCTGGCCAGAGCTGTATCTGGGAAGCTTTTAAGGTTCTCTAAAACCTGTCTGAAGCAAATTAATTATCTCCAAACTATCCACAGGCTTTGACAGAGTAATCTCAATGCAAAATCAATGGAATGAGATCAATGTTCACCAAGCTGTAAAGTCCTGCTGTCTTCGATGCTATCTGATCACTGAAATTGCTCAAGTCTAAGAAAATCTGAATCCAGAAAATCATGTTTGGAAGCTACTGTCTAATTTCAGACAAAGTTAATTTTTCAAAGGTTTTATTATTTAAAAAAAAAACAACCTCACTTTTCCAGGGTTTTTCTTTTTAGAATATTAATTAAAGCATATTCCAGGGCTTAGTTTGTGTCGTGGCAGATTTTGTAATCAATAATTGTTATTCTCCTTCAAAATCTTGTGTAGTAAATGTTGATTATTTTTTTAAATTCTAAATGATGTTTACTACATAGGAACTCAAATATAATTCAAATATGAGAAGAATATTTAGATACTGAAGATGTTACACATACTATTCCTACTATCTGAAATGCTTTTCCCTCCCCCTCTTCACCTAAGTAACTCCTACTCATCCTTCAGATTGTCCTGCAAACACACCTTCTTCAAGGAAGCCTTCTAAGACCTACTTGATCAGGATAAATCCTACTAGTACATGCTGTCATAGTCCCATTTTACTCCCCCTCATAGTAATTATCACTCAAATAATTTAATTGATGTCTCTTCTCCCCACCAGATGTGAGAGCAAGGACCGGGTTTTGGCTTGTGTCATACTTGGTGGTGGATGCAGTGCCAGGTACTTAGCAGGTACCCAGTGAATATTTGTTTGAATGAATAAATGAAAAGGAAAGACTTCATGAATACCACATTGGTGGGTCTGGACAATTTCAAAATGCCACCTGCAGAGATTACTTTCTGAATTTCAAGGAGTCAACATGGCCAGTTGCCTATTTCCAAAAATGCATGCATCTATAAATGCATACATACACACAACACACACATACACACACACACACACACACACACACACACGTACACAGAGTTATAAAGATTCTATATTGTGGGAGTCGATATTTTTCTTCTATAATTTCATGGCCTGATTTTTATTAATGGCTTATAGTAACTGCAATGCTTTACATATCTTAGACTCTAAGAATCTCCAAACCATCTGAACCCAACCACTCGTGTAAATGGAGTACATATTGCAAAGCTGTTAGATTCTAAAGTTAGTCAATGGAGTGAAAAATCACAAAATTGTGAAAAGTAATCCTTTGGAAAGTACCATGCTGAAAATAGACATACTTTCCTTCAGAAGTCCAACACAACCGGTTCCCCCAAAACTAAATTAGGTATCTCTTTCTTCACTTGAAGACCTGGCCACATTGAGCAGCCATGTTATACCAAAAATGTGTGGTATCTTTAGGCACCAGAGTCCAACTCAGCATGAAGGCATCTGGTGCTCAGACCTCCTGAGGGAACAGCACACACGTGATCCCCATCTCATACTCTTTGGGGTGAAAGCTTGTTAGGTTGACTGGCAGGTAGAGTCACACATGATTTAAATTGTTATTTTTCCCTTTTACTCACTGAGCTCACATAAATTAGACCCACGTTAAGATGCAATGCCACCATCTCCTCCCAACCAGCCACCTAGATTAAATTTAAACTAAGTTTAAGACTAAGTTTGATGAGGTACTCATTAATTTCCTTCCTGAATGGGTTCTCTGAAGAGGTGCCTATTTACAAAGTTGTTATAAATTAAATCAGATTTGTCCACTGATTTGTGCTATGGATCCAGGTAAGCCAGCCTGTAAGTTATTTCCTTTCCTAAAATGGGTGCCCATGCTGTTATGTGTTTCCTTCTTCACTGTTCCCCACCACCCTGCCAGAGCTGCACAGGCCAAAGTAGAAACCAGGGCCCTGGGGACCTCCCAAGGAAGGCGACAATGAGGGGCACTCACCATCACAGCCGGGTTCTTCACGGTGATGCAAGGGGTGGTGGCGCGAAGGGCTCCACTAACGCCGTGGTAGTACTTAAAACAGATTTTTATCTCCGCTGCACATCGATTGGAGAAAAACAAGGAATGAAACACGGAGACAAGTCATTTAGGAATTGGCTGAAGAAATCCGCCACATCACCTCTCAGAAAATCCTACTCAGGACTCTCCGAGTGACCCCTTCTTTTCCAATCAGAGAAACAAAGGATACCAACTCCTGTCTGATTTTATATGGTCCTCTGACATTTTCTAAGAACATCCTGAATACATGAGAAAAATAATGCACAAAAACAACACACCAAAATATGTAGAGTGTAGGGCAAGAATTGAACTGGTCACCTTTTGTCAAGGTAGTCCACCACGTGCCAGCCCCCATGCTTGTCTCTGCTCATGTTGTTATTTAATCCTCACCTCAACCTTGGGAGGCAGAGATGCCTGTCCCCATGTTACAGAAGAAGTGCTGAGGCTTTCAGAAGGTCGGGCAAACAGGAAATGACAGAGTCAGGAATCAAACCCAATCCGTCCGATTCCAAAGCCTTCACTCCTAACCTCTACAACGTAGACAGACTGCTGCTGTCAATGGAAATAGCAAAAAAAGCAGTCTAACAAAGCAAAAAAGAATACTGTAGTAGACTGCCAGGATAGGGAATTTGTATTTTAATTTTCCAAGTGGTTTCAATGCAGCCACTGGGCAGGGATCAAATTTAGGAACCTCTGGCATATAGATATATAGATATGGTTAGAGAAATAGATGATAGATGATAGATAGATAGATAGATATGTAGAAATATAGCTCTCTCCCCACAGGTAGGTGCGTGCGTGCGTGTGTGTGTGTATGCATGTGTGTGCATGTATATATAATCTCAGCTTGACAGAAAAGCAACTCAAATGTCAATTACTGATTTTGGAAAGTAATGACAATTTCAAAGACCATGAAGCCAAAGTGTGTCAAAGATAGAACCCACAGCCACCAGAATTTCTCTGTATACAGAGTATCTGAGTCACCGCAGTGTCACCGCAAGATGCTCTTTTCCCAAGCTGTGTGTAACATAGGCAACGATGCTGATGGGCAGGCTGCGGGGAAGAGTCCCAGCCTATAGGAGTAGAGCTCCTCTCTCAACTGAGCCACCTGGTTATTAAAATGGGGCCACTAGATGTACTTCCCCAAGGAAGTTAATAGTCTACTGACGCTCCTGACTGCACCAAATGGCCTGCTACAGAGTATTTGGTTTGATTATTTTAAGAGAAAGATATAATGATTGAAGAAAAACTCTCTTTTAGAAATTTATACAGGATTAAAAATACTATATACAGGAATACAATATCATATTTTCCTATCAATGACAAAATACTAAAGCTCAAAAAATTAACTCTATCATGGGGTAAAATATTGAGTGTTTCCATTATGTATGATAATCACAGTGCAGTGATTCACAGTGTAATTAGCATCATCAAGCAAAAGATTTTTACCATGTACCCATCACAATACATGCCAGAGAGTGCAAGGGAATCCAAGAAAGGGTTCTGGTCTAGCAGGCGTTTTATAGTGTTGCTGTTAGGATGACAATTACAGGCAGGACAAAATATAAAAGACAAGCACTAAAAAGAAAGAGCAATGAGGTAGCAGAGTGTAGAGACCATGGAGAAGATTAGTGAGGACACAGTGGAGTCAGAAAGGCCTCATGGAATGAATTGGTCTGGACTCAAACTTACAGATGAGAAAAATGGAGCCAAGAGAGTGAGGAGTGGCAAAAGGAAAGCATGAACGAACATGCTGGGTTTGAGGAACAGCAAGATGACCTACACAGGAATTCTAGCTTTACATCACTTGTCTGGGAACACCTCTGCAAATGACTTTCCCAAACATGAACACAAGCTTTTAGTTATTACTGAAACAATAACAGCTGTGCAGATCAGAGCAAACCTTCCTCTCCCACTTGCTTTCTTCCAAGACCAATAGCATGTATTCTATAGGAACAAAGCTAAGCACCATGCACAAAGCCTGCCAAAGCAGAACAAGCTCAGTGACATGCCCGAGCATTGAATTCTGCAGGCATGAGCTCATGAGTATCACACTCGAAATGCTAGCAACCAGCAGCAGTCTGTGACTCTGCCCGCAGCAGCACCACATAGATCAAATCAGTGCTAAGTGAGTGAGCGGCTCATTCTTCCATAAAGAGAAGTGCATTTTTATAAGACATCTTCCCCTAACTCCCTCTCAAGTTAGGATGCTATCTCCCCTTTTGTAAGGTTTAAAGAGTCCGCTAGGTAACAGATTATGAGACCAAAAAAAAAAAAAAAAAAAAGTTGATTTTTGTTTGTAGGATATTGATAGCCCGGCCAGCTTTGCTTGTGAACCCATTCCGGGTATTATTTATTCCTTGCTATAACAAAAATCTCTAGTTATTTGCACCTGGATTGAAACAAGCCCGCTCCCTCAGCAGAATACCAGTTCTGCTCCTTAAAACTACAGCAATGTTCCACGCTGAGTGGGAGCGTTCCTCTTCAAATATTAGTTAGTGCTTTATGAGGTCACTCAAGATTTTAAAAAATGGTGTAACTAATCAACATCCCCTCTGAGTGAGAGAGAGGAGAGAGAGAGCAGCATTCTGATAGATGTGCTTGAACATCTTAGTTGTGGGAAGAGGTAACCTAGAAGAATACACAAGAGGGGTAGAAAAGGGGAGCTGGCATTCACGCTTCTACTCTAGCTACCATTTGTAACCACTAACTGCAAGAGGAAAACAAAGAGCTACTTCTGAGAAACAGATACACATATAGGTAAAAGTGAACATGTGAATGTTCACCCACCCCCACCCTCCGTGGGGCCAGCCAGCCTTGTGCACAGGCAGCGGAGATACAGGACTGAGGAGCAATGAATGACCCCATCTCCCTGAGAATGGTTTTTCCACAGCCCAGTGTAGCAGCCAACATCTCCTCCTATTGGCCTCAAATTATGGAAATAGATATATGTGTGCCTGTGTGTGTGTGTGTGTGTGTGTGTGCGTGCACACGCGTGCACGTATTCCTTCAGACTATAAAAAGCAAGAGTATTTTCTCCCAAAAAAATCCACTTATTGAGGGGCGCCTGGGTGGCTCAGTCGTTAAGCGTCTGCCTTCGGCTCAGGTCCTGATCCCAGGGTCCTGGGATCGAGCCCCGCATCGGGCTCCCTGCTCAGTGGGAGCCTGCTTCTCCCTCTCTCTCTGTTGCTCCCCCCACTTGTGCTCT